GGGACCAGCTATCATACTTCGGGGACCAGCTATCATACTTCGGGGACCAGCTATCATACTTCGGGGACCAGCTATCATACTTCGGGGACCAGCTATCATACTTCGGGGACCAGCTATCATACTTCGGGACCAGCTATCATACTTCGGGGACCAGCTATCATACTTCGGGACCAGCTATCATACTTCGGGGACCAGCTATCATACTTCGGGACCAGCTATCATACTTCGGGGACCAGCTATCATACTTCGGGGACCAGCTATCATACTTCGGGGACCAGCTATCATACTTCGGGGACCAGCTATCATACTTCGGGGACCAGCTATCATACTTCGGGGACCAGCTATCATACTTCGGGGACCAGCTATCATACTTCGGGGACCAGCTATCATACTTCGGGGACCAGCTATCATACTTCGGGGACCAGCTATCATACTTCGGGGACCAGCTATCATACTTCGGGGACCAGCTATCATACTTCGGGGACCAGCTATCATACTTCGGGGACCAGCTATCATACTTCGGGGACCAGCTATCATACTTCGGGACCAGCTATCATACTTCGGGGACCAGCTATCATACTTCGGGGACCAGCTATCATACTTCGGGGACCAGCTATCATACTTCGGGGACCAGCTATCATACTTCGGGGACCAGCTATCATACTTCGGGGACCAGCTATCATACTTCGGGGACCAGCTATCATACTTCGGGGACCAGCTATCATACTTCGGGGACCAGCTATCATACTTCGGGGACCAGCTATCATACTTCGGGGACCAGCTATCATACTTCGGTAAGATCACTGTTATCTTGGACACTCAAACTTGCTCGAGAAAACCTCTTGACGTTTAATTTCAATTACAGGGATGGTTATCTTAATTACAGGATTTGTTATCTTAATTACAGGGTTTGTTATCTTAATTACAGGGTTTGTTATCTAAATTATAGGGTTTGTTATCTTAATTACAGGGTTTGTTATCTAAATTACAGGGTTTATTGTCTAAATTACAGGATTATCTTGAGATTATTTCGGGGTTTTAGTGTCCCCGCGGCCCGGTCCTCGACCAGGCCTCCCAGGCTAGGTAGTTTATTCTGAAATATTAAAGAATAATTTTTTGCTTATACAAGCTTAAATTGAGCTTGGAGCTAGAGTAACAGGTAACATAATAGATACCCTTAAAAAGATTCATAGAAAACACCGACCTTACCTAACCTTGTTAGTATGTTAAGATAAGCATCCTATTGCTTCGTAATTACAATTATTACCTAACCTATAATAGGTTTAGGTTAAGTAATAATTGTAATTACGAAGCAATAAGATGCTTATCTTAAGATACTAACAAGGTTAGGTAAGGTCGGTGTTTTCTATGAATCTTTTTAGGGGTATCTATTATGTTTAGTATATCACCTATGCACGTAGTTAATAAGTCAATATTGACTTTACGAATTTGCGAGAACGGGTTGCAGGAAGATAGTTACGAGGAGGAAACTGTGAGCCAGTAAGACTGGAAGCATACAGGTAGAGAGAAGGGGCCAGATTCACGAAGCAGTTACGCAAGCACTTACGAACCAAGCAGCCAGATTCACGAAGGAGTTACGCAAGCACTTACGAACCAAGCAGCCAGATTCACGAAGGAGTTACGCAAGCACTTACGAACGTGTACATCTTTCCTCAATCTTTTGACGGCTTTGGTTACATTTATTAAACAGTTTACAAGCATGAAAACTTGCCCAATCAACTGTTGTTATTGTTATAAACAGCCTCTTGGTGCTTCGGAGCTCATTAACTCTTTAATAATTGTAAACAAAGCCGCCAAAGATTGAGGAAAAATGTACAGGTTCGTAAGTGTTTGCCTAACTTCTTCGTGAATCTAGCCCGAAGTATATTGTCTATCGCATACTACTGACTACTTTCAACTTTTTTTTTTACCTTGCTAGGATAGACTATTTTCACCAACGACTATCAACGAGATTTTTTAAAGCTTTAAAAATGTAATGGATGTAATATCATGAAAGTCTATTGGCAACACTGAACGAAAAATTACCTCCTTGCTTGCTTCTACTTCCGACATTCCTTCCATTTCCATTCGATTGATTGATTGATGAAGATTAAGCCGCCTAAAAGGTGGCACGGGCATGAATAGCCCGTTTCCATTCATTTTGTCACTCGTCATATTCCCTTCTCGCCCTCAAACCCACCCTTTCCCCAATTGACTCATTCCGTTCCGTTCATTGGATCATACGGTCACAGTTCCGTCGTTCCGTGGTCGTTCCGTCCACGACGAAACCCGGTCATCAACATTCCAGCGAAATGACGCTATTCAGTCCTCTTGACGGTCGCCCTTGACATGGTTTTAATAAATCTGTCTGGTCTTAATCGCTTTATTTATTGCCGTGCCCGCCAGTGGTAATTTTGTCACACACACACACACACACACACACGCGTACACGCGTACACACGCGCACACACACACACTGTACATCAGTTGATTGACGGTTGAGAGGCGGGACCAAAGAGCCAGAACTCAACCCCCGCAAGCACAACAAGTGAGTGCACACACACGCACACACACGCACACGCACACACACACACACACACACACACACACACACACACACACACACACACACACACACACACACACACACACAGCTGAGCCCAGTAGGCTCAGGAACCTGTACACATGTTGATTGACGGTTGAGAGGCGGGACCAAAGAGCCAGAACTCAACCCCCGCAAGCACAACGAGTACACACACACACACACTAGCCCGTTCTCCTAACTCGACACTACGTATAAAATTCATCCTCCTAACCTAACCTAACCTAACCAGAAATGAACCCAAACAACCCACCTAACCCATCACTACGACACACAGAAAACGGAGAGATGTGTTAGATGTTTATATAGTAGGTTGCATTTATAACGTATTTATCAGAATCAGATCAATCCAGATTTATCAGATTCTGATAAATCCAGAATCAGATAAATCAGATACTGGATTCTGATAAATCAGATTCTGATAAATCCAGAATCAGATAAATCAGATTCTGATAAATCCAAAATCAGCTAAATCAGATTCTGATAAATCCAGAATCAGATAAATATGATTCTGGATTTATCAGAGATCCACCATTAACTTGTGTAATAATCGGCAGAAGTCATTAATAACGTTACTTCCCTTATGAACTAGGGAACCGACGCGGATTTAGCGGGCGCGTTCGCGGCTGAATGGATCCACGTGACTCCATGCGCCTGGGTGAATCCTCCAAATTATGATTGGATTCGTTCCTTGCACCTGGCGACCAGCGCATGAAGGCCTCACACTTCTCGGATTCGTTCGGAAACGATTGAGAACCTGATCGCCTGTTAGAACTTGATATTTGCAGCCGGTGGATTCAGAGTTACGTGATTCGAGTTTGTGATATCATTATTTTTACCATGTCGTAGCTCAAGTCGATTAAGGCAGCGTCTGGGATGCTCTCAGACGCAGGTCCGAATCCTCGTCACGGCCCTTGCGGATTTGTTCATTATTTTTAGTATATATTATTATTTTAAGCATTGTGTTTATACACCAGTTTGGTAAGTTCGCCGTGGCAGAATTTAAGAGACGATTACGCAATACACGGGCTCACCATAGCCGGTGCTACATGGATATTTCGTTCTGAGTAGCTAAAACAACAACTACGCAATAATCGTTTGATGCAAACTGGGCGTATAGGGTAATTAATGACGCCTCTTGAAGCGTAGGGAGCCGTCAGGTGCTGATTGATACGACAAACACAACACAACCTTATTTATCTATGAAACTAGTAAAAGCATTATGTATTCTATCCTTATATCTTACCTAAGTCTTATGTATTCTAAGTTACCTATTGTAACTTGCCTTCAGAAATTATCCAATTCTATCCTATTTTATATTTTAACATGAATTGGTTCGAATCCTGGTTGGGTTATAAAAGGGTGCTTAGTTATTTATGGCACGTTGCTGCAGCCTTTTTCACACACACACAAAATTATGTTATATTATCATTATTATATAATATTTTTATATTATTATTATATTGTTATTTTTATTATTATTTATTATTATTATTATTATTTTATATATATATATATCCTCATCTCTCTTTGGCGTCTCTCACTATAATCTCTCTCCCCCACCCACTTCCTTTCCTCACAAGAACCCAGTTCGTACTCTCCCCTAATGACGGTAAAAATGGTAATAATATCTGGAGTCTGGCCATCGTTAGAACAGGGTATCGCCTCCTCTTCTCGCTCGGCGCGCACACAAATGCTTGCGTTTCGTATTTTTCCGCCGAGTCCTCGAGAGGGGAGGGAGGGGAGGGGGGGGAATGAACGAGGTGCATTGATTGTACGATAAGGTGATATGACAATTTCCTTGGCGCTAACCACCTCTCGGATGTTTTGTGTTAGTTACCGTTTCACTAAGTTCCGTTTTCTTAGATTTGTCTTTAGCGTTTTCTCTTTAAAACTTTTTATGGTAATCTATAGTAATGATACCGCCTTAACTATTTCATTGAGAATTTAAAATTAAGAATAAATTTAAAGTCATCTACTTAATTTATTAATTAATATGGAGAAGTTACGTGTCCAAATTAGCTACACTAAATCATTGACGTTTGGGATTTGGGCAAGTAAGGTGTATTGATCCTGGTGAGTTCACTAATAACCCTATTAAAGATTCTATCTGGTCAGTTTTAAAAAAAATATTGGGTTACATACAGGGAGGGTCGTGGGGGGAAGGGGGGTCGTGTGAGGGGGGAGGGGTCGTGTGAGGGGGAGGGGGGTCGTATGAAGGGGGAGGGGGTCGTGTGAGGGGGGAGGGGTCGTGTGAGGGGGGGGGAGGGGTCGTGTGAGGGGGGGGGGGGGGGGGGGGTCGTGTGATGAGGGGGTGGTCTTATAATGGGTCTAGGTCACTCCATATATATATTGGTCACTTTATCCAACAGTACAACTCTAACACAGGTCCAATTAACGGAAAATAAAGGACAGAATTATCGTTTACATTTGTGCTTACCATTGTTAAGTAATACGTAAGATGTGAGTGAGTGAGTGAGTGAGTGAGTGAGTGAGTGAGTGAGTGAGTGAGTGAGTGAGTGAGTGAGTGAGTGTGTGTGTGTGTGTGTGTGTGTGTGAGTGAGTGAGTGAGTGTGTGAGTGAGTGGGGGGAAGGACTGTGTGTGTGTGTGTGTGTGAGTGAGTGAGTGAGTGTGTGAGTGAGTGAGTGTGTGAGTGAGTGAGTTAGTGAGTGAGTGTGTGAGTGAGTGGGGGGAAGGACTGTGTGTGTGTGTGTGTGTGAGTGAGTGGGGGGAAGGACTGTGTGTGTGTGTGTGTGTGAGTGAGTGAGTGAGTGTGTGAGTGAGTGAGTGTGTGAGTGAGTGAGTTAGTGAGTGAGTGAGTGAGTGTGTAACTACGTTTGAAAAATATTAATTAACTTTTAATCACTGTTTTTTTTCATATATTTATTTGTATAGTTTTCCTCTGGTCAATTACGAGAAGCAGGTAAGGTGATAGGCGTGAGTGAGGCTCAGGGGCCCCGGGTCCGGTCCCCGCCCACCTCACAGCTCAGTGGCCTCGTTTGTTGCCAAAACGCATCTCTCTCTCTCTCTCCCCCCCCCACCTCACCCCTCTCCCCCCCCCCCCACCTCCCCCCTCTCTCTCTCAACTCCCACGCGTGTGTGTGTGTGTGTGTGTGTGTGTGTGTGTGTGTGTGTGTGTGTGTGTGTGTGTGTGTGTGTGTGTGTGTGTGTGTGTGTGTGTGTGTGTGTACTCACCTAGTTGTACTCACCTAGTTGTGTCTGCAGGATCGAGCATTGACTCTTGGATCCCGCCTTTCGAGCATCGGTTGTTTACAGCAATGACTCCTGTCCCATTTCTCTATCATACCTGGTTTTAAAATTATGAATAGTATTTGCTTCCACAACCTGTTCCTGAAGTGCATTCCATTTTCCCACTACTCTCACGCTAAAAGAAAACTTCCTAACATCTCTGTGACTCATCTGAGTTTCAAGCTTCCATCCATGTCCTCTCGTTCTGTTACTATTCCGTGTGAACATTTCGTCTATGTCCACTCTGTCAATCCCTCTGAGTATCTTATACGTTCCTATCATGTCCCCCCTCTCCCTTCTTCTTTCTAGTGTCGTAAGGCACAGTTCCCTCAGGCGCTCCTCATACCCCATCCCTCGTAGCTCTGGGACGAGTCTCGTTGCAAACCTCTGAACCTTTTCCAGTTTCATTATATGCTTCTTCAGATGGCGACTCCATGATGAGGCGGCATACTCTAAGACTGGCCTTACGTAGGCAGTGTAAAGCGCCCTAAATGCCTCCTTACTTAGGTTTCTGAATGATGTTCTAACTTTTGCCAGTGTAGAATACGCTGCTGTCGTTATCCTATTTATATGTGCCTCAGGAGATAGATTAGGTACTCACCTAATTGTACTCACCTAATTGTGCTTGCGGGGGTTGAGCTTTGGCTCTTTGGTCCCGCCTCTCAACTGTCAATCAACTGGTGTACAGATTCCTGAACCTACTGGGCTCTATCATATCTACATTTGAAACTGTGTATGGAGTCAGCCTCCACCACATCACTGCCTAGTGCATTCCATTTATTAACTACTCTGACACTGAAAAAATTCTTTCTAACGTCTCTGTGGCTCATCTGGGTACTAAGTTTCCACCTGTGTCCCCTTGTTCGTGTCCCACCCGTGCTGAAGAGTTTGTCTTTGTCCACCCTGTCAATTCCCCTGAGAATTTTGTAGGTGGTTATCATGTCTCCCCTTACTCTTCTGTTTTCCAGGGATGTGAGGTTCAGCTCCTTTAGCCTTTCCTCGTAGCTCAATCCTCTCAGTTCCGGGACGAGCCTGGTGGCATACCGCTGAATCTTCTCTAACTTTGTCTTGTGTTTAACTAGGTATGGACTCCAGGCTGGAGCTGCATACTCCAGGATTGGTCTTACATAAGTGGTATACAGGGTTCTGAAAGATTCCTTACACAAGTTTCTGAAGGCAGTTCTTATGTTGGCCAGTCTAGCATATGCCGCTGATGTTAGGTGTGTGTGTGTGTGTGTGTGTGTGTGTGTGTGTGTGTGTGTGTGTGTGTGTGTGTGTGTGTGTGTGTGCGTGCGTGCGTGCGTGCGTGCGTGCGTGCGTGTGTGTGTGCGTGCGTGTGCGCGTGCGTGTGTGTGTGTGTGTGTGTGTGTGTGTGTGTGTGTGTACTCATCTAGTTGTGCTTGCGGGGGTTGAGTTTTGGTTCCTTGGTCCCGCCTCTCAACTGTCAGTCAACTGGTGGGTCGAGCCGGGTGGGAGCCGGTCGGCCGAGCGGACAGCACGCTGGGCTTGTGATCCCGTGGTCCCGGGGTCGATCCCGGGCGCCGGTGAGAAACAATGGGCAGAGTTTCTTTCACCCCATGCCCCTGTTACCTAGCAGTAAAATAGGTACCTGGGTGTTAGTCAGCTGTGACGGGCTGCTTCCTGGGGGTGGAGGCCTGGTCGAGGACCGGGCCGCGGGGACACTAAAGCCCCGAAATCATCTCAAGATAACCTCAAGATAACCTTACCATGAGTTATGGGAAGGGAAAGCTCCCAACCTGCTAACAAGAATGAGAAGTCATCTGTTCCTGTACCTTCATCTTTAAATAAAAATCACTTTAAACAAGCGTTACTTTAAACAAGCGTTACTTTAAACAAGCGTTACTTTAAACAAGTGTTATATTAAACAAGTGTTATATTAAACAAGTGTTGTATTAAACAAGTGTTATATTAAACGAGTGTTATATTAAACAAGTGTTATATTAAACAAGTGTTATATTAAACAAGTGTTATATTAAACAAGTGTTATATTAAACAAGTGTTATTTTAAACAAGTGTTATATTAAACAAGTGTTATATTAAACAAGTGTTATTTTAAACAAGTGTTACATTAAACAAGTGTTATATTAAACAAGTGTTATTTTAAACAAGTGTTACATTAAACAAGTGTTATATTAAACAAGTGTTATATTAAACAAGTGTTATATTAAACAAGTGTTATATTAAACAAGTGTTATATTAAA